AAATTTTGCCATGTATTCGTGGACTGAGGTATCACGAAACCAAAATCAAAGTACCACTCTGTAACATTATATGGTGCTTTAGCGATCCGGCTAAGATTTTTCGAAAAGTCGCTTCTTCGAGAAAAAAAAACTAGTATTTTGAAGGAAATATGAGCATTTTTGAAGATATTTAAGCGCATTTTTAATTACATCACTTAGAGAAACACTGCAAATGTCTGTACTTAGTGACGAAATCGTCAGTAATTCAGGATTCGATTTTTTTTTGCTTTATTCATTTGCCATAAAAAGTGGAGATACTCGGAAGTAGCTCGTTTTTGTATGTGCTTGTATTTATGTGTATATGGATGTGAGTTTAAGGAATGTGAATTGGTTGATAAGTTGACTTGATAACTTGTTACGACTTGGTAAATTGATTTTTTAACTTGATAACTTGATTTAATCTAATTTAATAAGAAGTTAACTTGATAAGAGTGAGAGCATGATAAGTAATCAGCCAAAAGCAACATAATTAGTGGTACTCCATTAGTAGACGCTGAATAGTAGTGTGAAGTAAATTAGGCGTAATCTGGACCTATCAAATATATTGGAACTGATACTCAACCACGATTAAGTCTTCGATCCAATACCCACAATACTTTCGCCATGTTTTTAATTGCTAATTTGGAACTGTATTTTGTTGTAATGCAAAAGAAAAAAAATACCTTCAATAACACTGCCTTTGAGAAGGACTCGTTGTTCCAGGCGGAATTTGTCGATTTTTTCAGCAGAAGTAAAATTTATTTCACGCGACACCGTCCGGCATTTCAGGATACTTTTAGGGACATGAGCTGAAAGGCTGCTCATTTTCATGCCACAACTCAGATAAAAGCAACATTGCCGATGGCAATCTGAGTTTGAGAATGTAGTACTGTGAAGAGATCAAATCTGAGTTCTTTTAGTCAGAACAAAAAAAAAAACAAAGTATTCGTGCTTGCACAATTTCTATGTTTAGCATCACGATAGTGCCCCGAACCTCGTTTTTATTTTTGCAATTTCTCATTCATGGACTGGATTTGATGCCTTTTTAGCGAAAGTGCAAATCTAGTTTTTGTGCTATGAACTCATTGTCCGCACTTAGCGCACACTTTTTGGAACTGCAAAGGAAAAAAAGCCTGCGCCATCACCTTCTCCTCCTCAGGCACGTTACTGATGCTTTTTTTGTCAACGAAACAGCATTTCTCGCTGAATGGTAGGAAAATGCCTGAATGAAGAACATTTTCCAATAGAAAAATCCTTTTTGAATTTTCCGAGGAATAAAATTCCTCTGAGAAGGTGGTGCCAACAAATGGAGTAGAAAATACTTTGCCCATTCCAGCACTAGGATTCCCGAGATTTTTCGAAACGTAGCTTAAAAGCATAGTGAAATCATATGCCGCTTTTTTATAGTAGGCACTGTTCATAATTTTGCTCCTTTTTTAGATGTACAGTCCATGTTATACGAAGCTAAAATCGTCAGGGAAGTACACTTATGCATTGAAAACATTAGATAGGAAATAAAACTCTTTGGAAAATGCGGTGGGTGCTTAAGAGAGATACAAAACTGAGGGTATGGTCAAGTTTCGGTCACTTAGCTTCATTTTATTTAAACTACAACAATTTATTTTTAAACACTCCTAATTCATAAGCTTTAGTTAAGGAGGTACTAAAAGTTGCTGAAAAGGGATCAGATAGAAACTATACTTTTCTTATAAAATCCATCCCCGACAATTTATCACCCTCATCGAAATAGGGACTGAAGGAACAAAAACTGCACTTTTGCTTCTTCAATCCCTGTTTCGATTGTGAGCAGAAAGCAGTCACGAAATTTGCTGAGGAAAACAAAGAAAAATGATCTGTCGCCGAAGACATCTTCGAAAAGTGTAAAAAGCGAGCAAAGAACCTTCATGCTCTTTTCCGGGTACAGCAAGATCCTCATGGCTTTGCCATAAAACTTTCCCACTTTCTGCATCTCGTAGGTTCATCCAATTTCTGTAAATTCACGCCACAGTTACGTGTTTTCGTCCTATTGCACCCAATAAATGAACCTCACAAACGTATACACATACGTATGCACATGTACAACCACAAACGCACACGCACACACACACACACACCCACATACACACACACACGCACATGCACAAATTTAAGCACGAGCAGTGGTTTGTACCACTGTCCGTTTAGCATCATAATGCTATTTCTGTGCATTAAAAGTACGGAAAAGATTTGTTGATCAAGCAGTTTCATATTCGAAACGAAGTGATACGTTTAACACAACCGTGAAATCTCCAAGCAATTACAACCTTGACAAAGTACTGTCCAGGGAGCCACTGAGCCGGTAATCTCTTTAGGAGGGGAAAGGAATGTCAAAATAGCCAAAGACCGACCACCGTGCGGTACAACATTGGTTAACGCAATTATGAAGTGGAGAATAAAACTGGCATGATCGGTCGATTACACCATTAGAAAAGCATTACGAATATGATTTAGTAGTGAGCCTGTAGACGAATCCTGGAACTATGCGAAAGCTAGGAATAGAGTTGTAACACTGCTATGTAGAGTTACTTTAGTTTTATTTATGAAGAGACCTGGGCTTTTGCAGCACTGGTGCCTATCCCGCTAGAGAGAGGGAAGGGGAGGGGGTGAAAGAACCTTGCCCATCTCCTTGAATCTTCCTATATGTGAGCCAGTAACCGTTTCAAATATTCACAATACAACAGTTTAACTCTAAAATGGCGTGTCGGCCCGGTTGGCTATTTGCTGTCAGGAGCTAAGCAATCAAACTTACATACGCAATAGGCCAAATTTATGTCCAGCGTTTAGTAAATGATTTTGACCTGCTACATGACTTAGTGGATTTTCAGAAGAAAACCCGTAATTCAAAACAACAGCGTAATAACTTACAGCTTGAAACCTTCCAGAATTTTCTGGGCCCGAGACATCGTGGACTTCGATAAGCATGCTCATCCGATTATAAGCACGTCATCCTGGTTACGTGGAGGCCAGCTTTGTCGTCATTATGCATAACTCAACTGAAACTGATTGTGCTAAGAAATGATTAATACAGTTTCGTGGTCAAATGTCAAAAAGCGCTTTTGTGGACTCATCCCACATCTAGCTAAATCTTGCCTGCGAAGTCATGGCAAATGAAATATCAGGAATGTGAAGACCGCTTGTGCAATGGATGTGGAGAGCAGTCCATGTTACTGATGTCAGCTGGAATGCTCCTAAATGAGGCACTTTTTGGCCAAAAAGAAGTTGCTGTGCTTGTTTCTTCATGCTTTCTTAAAAAATGCATTTTTTTGAAAATTGGGCAGCTAGTTTTGTCTCTAATCTTTCAGTTCTTTTGTTGGAATTCCGCAAGTCTCTGGTGATTCTTGCGAACTGTTCTACTTTCCTCTAACACAGAGCGCTCATCTGTCCTAATTTTTCCGCCATTTCATCTAATCTGTGTGTTTTTTCAACATAAGCAAATTTTGAGCATGAAAAATTGGGATCCAAGCGAAGAGTAAAACAAAAGCTATCTCCGTACATATTTTAAAAGAAAATATAAATGAACGATAAAAGGTTGGTAAGAACTAAGAAGCAAGGTTCGGCATAGCTATGCCAGCAATAGTAGAATTCTAGATGAGAAAACTAAATGATTATTTATAATACTGATATGAATTTACCAGTTGAAAATATGGGATACAAGAGAATTATGTTGTACTGGCGAAGTCTAGCTACGGTACTAGGATAAGACGTATACAGCTTGGACTGAAACTTCCTTATCCTGGGCTGATACTATCACAGTAAATACATAGAAATATTAATGATTTCGAATTCTTCATGCCTTTTCACAAAAGTCCTACAAAAAGCTGTCAAGAAGTGATAAACCAGTGCATGGTACATATAATACCAGTGCCAGACAACACAAAGTGATATGCGTGGAAGCACTGTTCCAAATGTTTTGTGGAGTTCGAATGCCAGTAGTGTAGTGGGTAGCATATCGCAATTCAACAGATCCAGCGATAGCGAAAATGAAGGATTCGATCCCCCTCTTGGTTCATATGCGTTTGCGAAAGGGGCCTGGTTTGTGTTTCTGTGCCACTGACCGGAAAAGTGATCAAAACAAGTTGGCAAAAACAAATCCACGGCGACTTTCACCATACTGACTAAGGTCGCGTCATATTTATATTACTCTTACTTCACATGTTTCTTCTGCTTTATTTCTATTTGTTTTTATCTACTTAC